ATGATCAGCATTGAAAACCATGTCATTTGTGAAGGCGTCCAGCCAAGCTTCACCACAGGACTTGCTGCAGTTTTTGCTGTCTACTATGTGCTTAACTTGCAATACCAAGAGCAAGCTTCAAGGACTCTGGAGTTTGTTCAAAGGTAAATTTTCTGCTAGTCTACATTGTTTGTATTAGATATTTTGCCTCTCTTGCCAGCTCTGTTTGCCAATGTTATATTATAATTTAAAATGCCACAGAATTCTTTTCATATGAAAATACCTTGAATTTAAATTGCATACAATACTTAATAAGACATTAAAACCTGCTTTAGGTGTTTATATATAGACGTGTGTTTGTCGTTTCACATTTCTGTTTACCTGAAATACTTTTGGATTTCCTTGTAATATTCTTCCTTACCTTATAATGGTTTTGCATTCCCATGCAATACCTGCTCAGTCCAATAGTTACTGTTAGGAAGGCCACAGATCAAAACATGTGTACCTAAATTAGATCCTGCCCAGTTTCATAGAATGTAATTTTAAGGATGATTTTACTGTGTTTTTTTTTTAAATAATAATTTAGACTCTTTGTTGGGATCAACCCTGAGAAGGGAACAAAGGCCTACCAGGGGAAGGTTGTTTCCAAGAAGACAGGGAAGCTGGTCCAGAAAAAGGCAGCAACTGTGAATTCCCATGTGGCCACCCTGATAAAAAAAACTCTTGGACTTTGAGTGGGGCTTTATGTAAGTCACAACATATCGCAACAGAAAAGGAAGTAACCAATACAGCAATCAGATTAATGTCAACGTAAGGTAACAAGTCTCTGTTTTTTGTAAAATATTTTTTTCCAGTATGGCATGCTACATACAGATTCGTTTTTTTGTTCATTGAAATGTTTCAGCTATACTGCAGCACTTTCCACTTAAGAATTAAGAATCCAAAGGCTTATCTACTATTACTAACTGCCAACTGACAACATATGGTGTATTAGATACAGTTCTTGTTGCTCTTTTGTTAATCTGAATTGGTTTTCAGCTGAATTAATGCATTAAGTGCATTGGCTTTAATATATTATATATTGCCATCTCATTTGTCATAGTTGACATACAGATAAGGAACTGTTTATAACTGTTTACAGATAAGGATTTGTTTATAGTGAATGCATTTTACAAAACATTGTGGTTATGTTCATCCTAATAAAGGCCTAATTTTGTAAGGATATGTCTTGTCCGATATGGACTTTCTGGGGTTTCCTATCAAAATGGGTTTTTTTTTTTTTTATCATTATCTTGCATTATCGTAAAACTCATTGTACAGTACAAACATTTTACAGTAATAAATCTGTTATGAAGATTACAGTAGGAACTCTAATATAACAGTTAACAGCGAACAGTATAATTCTGTAAACCTTCACAGTACTGTAATATTTTACAGTAATAAACTGTTGTAGGTACACTGTAAAATAACAGTATAATGCCGGCAAATCTAGCTGCCAGTAGCTTACTGTAATTTAACAGAATGTCCATTGAAATTTTTTTTACAGTGATAGATATAAGACATAAGTGCACTGTAAATCTAATTAGTGGCCATTTGTGAACAATATACAGTATATCAATACCGCCAATTTGGTCAGTATTTCAAGAAATAATGTTTTGAGTCATTTTATGTAATTTATTGCTCATTGTTACTTATTGTTTTGTGTTACATATTGTCTGAATTACTTATTCTCTAATGCTGCTATTTACTGTTATTCCTCTTCTGTTAACTGTCAATCTGTATGAGGCATGCAAATATCTCATTTTACCGAGTACATATCATGTGAGCTTAATCAGCGTCTCTAAATTGCCGGTAGCGAATGACTGTGGGTGTGTGCATGTCTGTGCCCTGTGACTGGCACGCCATCCAGAGTCCAGCACTGCCTTGTGCTACCTTGGATAGGTTCTAAGCCCACAATCATCCTCCAGTTCCCCTTCCTCTTGGTGTGATTTTGAGCGCTGTGTCACTGGGAATGGAGTTTAGTGTGCAGTGTTAATGGCGAATGTTGGTTTTTAGTCACTGTAGCGCTGTGCCTGTGGGTTGTGGGGTTTTAGCCGTGCTCAGTGGGGGAGGGTTGTCCTCTGAGGGAACTTGTGGCTTGTGAGTGCTCAGTTTTTAATGAACTGTGCCTTTTATAAAAGTATTTCTTCGTGGTACCTGCTTAGGGGTGAATATCCTCTTGTCTCTGATGCTGGACCATACCAGCTTAACAAAGGGCATAATCATTGGCCCCCTGTCCAAAATTGAACAAAACTGTTAATTTTTCTAAGAAAAATGACTAGTATTCAAAGTGTTTGAGAATTGCTTCCAAAGGAACAATTTCCAAGAAGTGTGATGAAAATATTTTCCAATGCACTTAACTGAAAACAAGAAATACACAAAAATAGCATGGCCAAAATTATAAGCCCTCTGACAATTAATAATCAATTGTCTTGCCCTTCTGACTCACAACTGATTCTCTTACTGAAGTTTCTCCCAAGGTTTGCACAAGTCTCCTATGAGATCTTAGGCCATTCGTCCATGGCAAATTGCTCCAGCTCATGCAAATTAGACGGTTTTCAAGGGTGGACCTTAAGCTGCAGCTCTCGCCAAAGAATCTCAATAGGACTAAGATCTGGGCTTTGGGACGGCCACTCCAGGACCTGATTTTGGTTTTCCTCAAGAAGTTCTGGACCAACTGTGATGTGTGCTTTGGATCATTATCTTGCTGAAAGACCCAAAACCAGACTGGCAGCAGATTTTTTCAAATTATCCTTTAAAATGTCAACATAATATTCTTTCTTAATTATACCCGAACAAGGTTTTCTGTGTAAAACAGCCCCACACCATTATACTCCCACCACGTTTAACTGTGGGAACCATGTTCTTAGGGTGGAAAGCCCCTCCCTTCCTTTGCCCAACAAAAGCTGTATCCATGCACCCAAACAGCTGCTGTTCTGTCTCATCAGGCCAAAGGACAGACTCCCAAAATTCATCGCCATGTTTCAAATGATCCTGGGCAAGTTTCAGCCTAGTTCTGATGTGCCAAGGAGTTTTCCTTGACTGATGACGTCGAAGCTTCTCACAATGAAGAGCCCTCACAACAGTTGTTTCTGAACTGGCCAGTTTGGTGACAGTGGCCTTTGCAGTGATCCAGGGGTTCTTGTTGGCATTTATGATTTGAAATCTTGAGCTTGCAACCACACCCAGGTTTTTCACAGAATGGGTCACTTTAAATTTTGCAATGATATTTTTAATCTCACAGCTGTCTTTTCTCTGAGGTCTACACTTATTTCTTTGGTTTTTGGCATCATGAAATTACTTTTTGCAAAGAATATAAGTGTGATGCATCTCAGTCTTGCCTTTAAGTACCACTAGCCCGGCTCATTTCGGTCAGTTCGGAGCCAATTGATTAAGCCAATCAAATTATATGGGCTTCAGGTGTGGTTTGACACCAGAACTTAACTTTACTACAATGCTTCTTGGCAAATTCACAGGGGTTAATATAATTTTGACCACCCCAATTTTCAATAAAGTTGTTATACAGCAGCATAGGAGTTGTTTTTTTCATATAAATGTACCAGTTGGAGGTTTTTACTTTGATTAATGTTTTACTTTGTAAAGTTTGAAAAAATTATGCTAACATTTTACATAAATATAGGAAAATGTCCGATTTCTCATAAGGGGCTAATAATTATGATCTTAACTATATTTAATCTTAAGCAAGGAAGGAAAAATAAACTTACAGTATGTGCATGAGTTAGCCACATACGCTTTATGGTTTTGTTTTCAGGACATTCTGGGCTACTCAGATATGTCATAATTTGATGTGTAAATGCTGACAGTCTTCATATCATCATTTTTATTAGGAAAAACGTGTGACTATTGAATTTTTTCAATTTAGTCTCATTTAAATAAAAATTAGCAGGGACTACAAATATAATCTTATAAATGTTGAGATTAGAGTGTCTATGATGTGGGAATGCAGGGATTTCATTGGGGACCTTTCTATGGCTTAATATTATGAAGGAATACATGGTTAGTGCCAGGCCGAAAAATAGCTTTGATTTTCCATCCGTTTGGTAACTTGTTGAAGTTATCTGACAGATAGCAATGCGGGCTTTTATATTATTATTATTATTATTATTATTATTATTTATTATTTAATTACTGTATAACATCTCAAAGAAATTGAAGTAGAAACCATCACCCCAAACATACATACATCCCCACAAACACACACAAAATAAACATAAATGCACACCAAATCCTAATATAAGATCAAAGCATACATTCATACATACATTCGTTTTGTTTTATTTACTTTTCTGTCGATAGTTGGTAGTGCGTGGGTCATTGCGGAAGCGAATTCATGCTTATTGTTTTCCGGGCTGCATTTTAGAGGAAAATGTTTAAAATATATGCCTCACAGCGCACAGGGTTACGCGGAAATACTTCAGCGCACAACATAGCGACCGGATGAGGTAAATACTCTCGATTCCAAAGATATGCGATTCATGTCTGCGTTATACCTATGCAGAGACCCTGAGACTTATGGGTGCGAAAATCAGCGCATTTTGTGTTTGTTGGGTTTTAAGAGTTACCATTTCATTAATTATGATACATTTACTGTTTATATATTGTTCATGTTTATATTTTATTTACTGGTTTTATTTACCTAATCAATTTTTTTTGTAAAATCAGTTTCCAAAAATATATACTCTAGATTGTGCCTATAGTACGTGGGGTCTTAATAAGAATACCGCCCAAGGTATCAGTTTTTAAAAGACCATTGAAACTCTTTCAGTCGACTGAATGGTGAGTATGTGTTCATGTAGGTATCTAGTGAAATAGCCCAGTTCTTCCTAGACGAAAGGCATCTTGTCAAACAGGTTTAACACGTGATGGGCAGGGTACTTAACGAGGTGGGAATAAAATAACAGGTGAAGTTGGGAACGGCGTTTTTCTTGATTAATTCGAAAGATTCATTCGAGAACAAGGTAAGTACGTAACAGATATTACCAATTAAGAGAGTATGAGAATGTCTCAGTATTTTATTCCTTATCGTTTGATGATCTAACGCGCGCAAGTCATCTTGTGATCAGTAAAATCTGCTGTACCATAGTGTTTCATAACTAGAAAATATTGTAGGCTACTTAAACCTACAAACGTTTCCTTCAGGCGTGCGGATTGATCGTTATATGGCATGTTTTTTTCACTGTTATTAAGTTAAATAATTCTGTAATCTTATGTTTTAATTCTTTTAAGTCTCTAAAACGAAACATGATTTTAATCTTGATATATTATTGCATTCACAAAGTCACAGTAATATACGTACAAACATATAACTTGTAACTAAAGTTCTCTATTATGTACATATATGTCAATCATATGCATATAATTTAATAAATAGGCCTAAATTTGTTCGGAAATTGTGAAAATGAAACCCTAAATGACCACGGTTTCGTTATCGATTTGTACACATACTTTTAACTCCAAAACTTTGTCTTTATATAAACGTATTGTGTGAAATGGGGGCTGGATTGATTGAAATATGTTTATAGTTTAAACAGAATATTAAGAATTATTGTACTTAACATGCCTATTATATTTGCCCCTAGATGGCGACAGAGACAATCAAAGCAGTTTATAATCGTAATACACGATAAACGTTATTATGCTTATTGATATGAATTGTAACATATTATTAGCTATGAATTGCTGACTTTCCAATTTCAGTATTATTCGGTATTAACAGCCATATTTTCCTTTGCAGGTTGTCATAATGTGGGGTTATTTCGGGCCTTGTGCTACTTGTGTATTGATGGTGCTGCAGATCACAGAGGCCAGGGTCATCTGCAAAAGTGATGGTGATTTTTCCCCCCATTGTCTCTCATTATTTAAAATGCTCCGCAGGTGTTATTCAGTTCATTGTTATGTCTTTTCTTCTGTAGTAAGCCATGTTGCACTTTAGTTTGTATTTGGCATTAATCAATACTTTTGTACAACTATGTTGACCTAGTATTCCTCCCGGAGCAACCTGCGACGTCCTTCCTATCTCGAACCCTCCTCTATAACAGTTGGGACTTTGAGCTAGTAGTGCCCGGTAACATAGAGAGGGAGTGTATGGAGGAGGTATGCACATACGAAGAAGCACGAGAAGTTTTCAAGGACAAGGCCACAACGGTAAGATGGGATTGTCTCTGCCTGAAGCTGCTTGCTGTGAGGACCCTTGCATTTAGCACTAGTATTTGGTGGTTCTTGGTATGGGCAGTGGATAGTGCGGTGGTGAACCATTTCTCATCCCTTGGAAGGTCCTTCTGTTTGTACCCCTACCAAGCAAAACTCGCCTGAAGTGCTCACAAACTATTCAGCTATATCAAAGAGAGAACCTGCAAACATTTTAATTCTTTTAGTTGATGAACCAGGTTTAAAAATAATATTAACTGACACATATCCAGCATTGCTGCATTCTAATTGATTTTAAAACATCCTAACTTGCGGGTGATCATGTTATTATCATATTCTGTTTGGGCACTATTGTAAAAGACTATAATGGTAATGGCAAAGCATTATAGAGTGATGTTACATGCTATTTATAACCAGTTTATGTTTTTTCTCCTCAGGATGCTTTTTGGGACAAGTATACACATCAACAGGGTAAAGAAACAGACTTTTTAAAATTGTGTGTAGATAGGTAATGATAATTCATCCCTGCAATGGTACTTTAATTTGATTTTTCCGATACAAATGACTACTCTATTCATGTTTGACAATTTAAAATATTTTTTGTAGTTCAGACGATATAGTTATTAAGCAATAATATTTATGTATTTCAGAGTTTAAATCATTTGATTGTGAAATATTTTTAATTCCATTCCAGTTACCACACTTAACCTGACAACGAATGTGTACATTTAGTTTCTGTTTGGCATGTCTCACAGTGTTGTGTGTGTTGTAAGTACATTCAGAGTCACCTGTGTTTCAGCCTACGCACCTAAAATGGACATGTCAGGCATGGTGGCTGGGATTGTTGCCGCAGTGGTGATACTGATTTTTGTGGCTATACTCATCTGCTACTGTTGCAGAAGAAAAAATAAGAATGTGAGGGGAGGGCAAAGGTAAAATGTGTGTGGGTTTCACGTGTGTGTGTGTGTGTGTGTGTGTGTGTATATGCATGTGTTTTGTTAGTCACATAATTTCTCATTGACTACTTCCACAAAGACACTTAAATATGTGTGACAGATACATAGAGCAATCACTGGTAGTGCTGATACCTGAATATAGAAAAATTGAGTGATGGGATGAATCGTAGTTTTGTTAATCTAGAATGATTTATTATTATTATTGTTGTTGTTGTTTTTTGTGTTTGTTCATCGATTTCCTAACTACTTGTCCCGGTCAGAGTTGCAGGATATGATTAATAATGATGATGATGACAATGACACATTTTCCACAGCGTTCCAGTGACGATGCCTGCAGATGTAGTCATGCCCCCTGAGTCAGTTCCACTGGCAGGAGTAGGAGTTCCAGGACTGCCGTCGTATAACGAAGCCATCAGCCGCACCGGGCAGCACGACCTGCCACCACCTCCTTACTTGGGGTTTGTTTTTATCTTTTCCCCATGTTTCTATGTGTATTTTTTCAAATGTGGCTGCTTATGGTGCGGCACATATTTCTGACTGATTATCTAGGCTGTTTGTGAACAGTTTCCTACCTTATCGTAAAAATATTTTATTATATTATTTTTTGCTGCCTCTGTATTCCTTTTTCAGGGATGGTGAACAAGGTGAACCAACCCCCCCTGATACTGAAAACATCTGAGAAGTTAAGGGTGAACAGAAATGGTGGAGAAGATTCTGCAGTGATTCTTGGTTTTTAAAAATGATTCAGGAGTAATAAGAAGCATAAAGAAACAAAAACTGAAAGATGTTTCTTTTGTCAACTATATCATGATACAATAAAGTGGAACTGGATGGGATTTAAAGGACCAAGTCTAAAAATGCAACAGTTATCATCACATTTCCAGTTTGATATTTAATATTTATATCAACTTCTTCCAAGACCCTACAGTTTTATTGTTTATATATATATAAATTTCCTAATAAATTTTTAAAATATTACTCATCAAGGCCTGGTGTTTAAAAAATCCTGAATTGTTACACTTAATATCTAGACGATATCATCGTGCACAGACGTGCAGTGTGTGGAACAGATTTCTTGCATATTAGGCCTATACATTAGGCCTTCACGTGCCGTTTTTGTGCCTTAGTCCGTTCGGACAAAAAAATCACGTGTATCTATCTCCGTTGATATATATGATTTTATATTTATTTCCCTCCCCTCCCCCCTTTTGTGGAATACTGGTCTGAAATGTATTCTGGGAATGGTTTTCACTCGTATGCAAGAGGGGAGGGGAGGGAGACACTGCGTGTATGTGTTTCAGAGAGCTGGGGGAGAGCGAACGAGCAAGCCAGGAGCTTTCAAAAATGGCGTCTTCAGAAAAAAAAAATGATTGAAAAAAAATATTCTTAAAAAACGAGGCCTAGCACTCAGAAGCCCGCAGCCGGAGTAAGGCTCGGATTCGGAGCTTCGCTGCAACTGCACCGTCTTAGTCATTTTAAAAGCAAGAGGTGAAGGCGCGTAAAAACACCGACGCAACTCGGCATATATTAGATGCGTCGACAAAGCTAGCTAACTAGCTAGTTCCTTTGCTAGCTACCAACATCATATATATTTGAGAGAGGGAGGGATGTACGTGGCAGCTGGTAGATACTTTTCGGGGGAATCACGTCGCACATTTGCCAAAGCTAAGAAGTTTATCGGGCAGGCAGAAGAAAGAACGACGGGTCGAGCCGAGCCGACAATCGGAACCCGTCCATCCGCGTCCTGTACCGCTCTTTGATAACTACCCCCGAGAAAGGGGAGGAGAAAGACGCTTCGGAAAGGGACGTGTGCTCTTAGCCGCCTAGCAAGCTAGCTCTCTGCCTATCAGCATTTATTCGCTAGCTAGCTAGCTGGCTTGCTAGCGTAGAACAATGTCCGTGCTTTTTTGCTCAAAGACAATAGCCAGATATTGAAAGAAACACGGCACAAGAGAGGGAAATAGGAAAACTGATTTTTTTTTTGGTGACTGGTGTGACCCCCCTTCATATCTCCCTCCTCCCCTCTTCATATCCTCCTCCTTCCCCTCCACTCCATTTCGCTCCCTCTCTATGCCGTTTCCCATTCTTGAAGACTTGCTTGCGAAACGGAATAAACAGATATTGAAAATTGGGAGGAAAAAAGCAGACACCTTGTTTGAGTGCCACACTTTAGTTTTTTCTCCTTTCCCAATCCTCGCCGTTTCTCCATCTCCATCCTTCATATATTTTAATGGATAGAAATTATCCAGGTGCAGGATTTGGTGATTTGGGCGCAGGAACGGGATGGAGTTACGAGAGGTCGGCGAAGGCAAGGTAAGCATTTGTTCATGGAGCCACTATGTTCTGTCCTGTACACATAAATGTTTTCGGTAGCAATGCCATTTGAAAGGGCGCAGTTTTTGCTTTATGCAGTCTGCGTTTAGTTGCGTTGATTGCATAGTGGGTCGCCCAGGTAGTTAGCAACCTTCTATTATTATTAACGTGGAAGGGGAGCAGGTCTTAGAAATGCATGGAATGCGATTGACAGTGTTAATGCATGGCAAGAAAAGGTAGACAGACAGACGAAGGGAGGGAGAAAAGAGGGGGATGGGTTGGAGGATACATCGTTTCATCAGAAAATACAAATCAAATACATTTTCCCCAGACTCTTCCAGAATGTCAGTTATATAATTAAATAGATTCCCCGATGCAGCAATTATACAGTATGGTACTTAGCTATCTATTAATAGGTATCGGCACTGACATACCAATGACTTATTTTTTTATATGGGTGCATGCATGTTATCCGCTAGCTGGCTGACGAAAATGTAATGTTCGGAATTGTATCTTGAGTGGTGGATCTGTATAGTTTAGCATGCATTTTTAAATATATTATTGTACCGAACGTCAAAATAATATCGGACGTTTCGTTATGTATCAGTGATTGAATCACCCTAAAATGCAACTGCTGTTTGCTAGCAGCCAGACAGTTCACCATAACTGCCGTACGCGATCGTATTATTAACAATGCTACTTTAAGTTCAATTGTGCATAGCTGTAAAGCTAGCCAGGTAGCTTAGTTACATATGTAAGTGGCAACTGTTTGCCTCCAGTTGCAGGATGCATGCATATGATGAGGATTTCATGCAAATATTGCGATGGTTGGCAAACCACAGCTGTTTACTACCCCAATAACCTGGTCGCTAGAAACCTCTTTTTCATTGCTTTCAGTTTGGCAGGAGGAAAATCATGTTTCTGGGCCTTCGAGCCAGGCAATTCTATATACTTAACGTGCGCGTTTGTAGGGATCTCTGGTCCTTGGATCAATTTTATATAAACCGTTAGACAGTTAACGTATGTAAATAATCAGAAATTTGAATTACAAGCTTATGGGGGAAAAACCAATGTCAACAACCTACATATATGTGAGCTATTTTGAATATCTTATTGGAACATAAGCAAGCAAATGACATAAATAGCTTTAAACGTCAGTTGTAAATAGGCCTAGCGTGTAATTTATTTCTTATTCTAAGCGATTACGCTAGTCGCGCGTGCCGGAGAGCCCATTGTCCGTTCTCCGTCGCGCGGTTAAACTGGGGGATGAATCGCGACGCTACAAGTGACAGTGATCGGGGCTCGCGAAGGTGGCGTGCGGTCCGCGCGGCAGCCTCGTTCGCCCTGAGTCCTGCCGAATGACTGGCTGCCAGCCGCGGCCTACTTCACTGCTAACGCCTCGCTACCAGGCGGCCAGTCGCCGTGACAACCGGAATAAATCTCTCGCGGCGTAGATGAGGATACCTGTCTGTCTGCATTTCTGTCCGCTTGTCTTTCTGTCTGCATTTCTGTCCGCCCCTCGAAAGGACTTAACCGGTTCTTCTGCGAAGTCAACAAAATTCCCGTTTATTAATCCCTTTGCTGAGATGATTATCGTAATAGCTGGCTGTTTGCATGATGGTTGTTCCTGACCATATTAAGGGATAGCCAGTAATGATTTTTATAAATTTGATATTATTTATACATTTTTATAATGGGGTCTTTTTGTCCAGAGATTTCTAGGAGGGACTGTTTCGTATTTGCAGTTACTGACCTACGTTAAACTTTGCATTATGGACTAACATTACCTTTGGATAGATAACATTAATTAATTAACATTAAAATTATGTTTTCGTGTTTCTGTAGCTGAATGAAGAGTGGCAAAGTTACTTAATAGTATGAACAGAAATTAACTACAAATGAAGTATTCTGATAAATAATTTATGCGCTATCTATTTCTGTATTAGGCTCTTGCTTTAGGTTGTGATAGGCTGAAATCAGGAAGGTGTAATTTACTCCTTGTACGTGTGGGAACTTAACGTGTGGTTAATTTTGATAGATGTTTTATTCTTATGAATATATTGAATAGTATGTCAGCTTTCATGTATTAGTACTGAACGCCTCTTAAAGGTTAACTGTTTTGGTGCATGATTTGAATGTTTTGCTTTCGGATTGTATATGGCTACCTGTCTAAATGTATTGTCATCACCCTGCATTAAATACAGAGTTATGTCAGATGGATGGATGGGTGCATGCATGCATTCATTGATACTGATATAGTAATGTCTATAAATTTCTCATAAATTTGTTTCAATTCCATTAGCATTTCATATCTTTAAGGTATCAGTGGTATTCCACACTGTTTGATGATGTTTTCCTGTTTAAAGATGCATTGTATACTGGGAAGGATTAATGGTAACTGCAGAGACTCTAAAATCAGTAATGCAGGGCTGCCGTGTTTTTTAAATTAAGACTTTCTTGGAGTGCTCGTGGTCAAACTCTTCTACTGGAATAATTCTCTCAAAACAATATTTAATATTTGAATTTTTGAGTAAGCTTAGATTCTATCGGATTTCCTGAATCCCATTATAACTAGGGTATCGTTTCATAATTTTGGGCCTCCCAGCCCACTGTGCATGCTAGTGTTTGGTCCAGTTGAGTTTTCTTAATTAGCCTTGATTGAGCTTATTGAGTATATTGCACAGATGAAACGTCTTTGAAATTACAATTTAGTCTAAATTGTTGTCATGAATATTTGCAATTATGAAAAATGCTTAGATGTCAGTGAATTCTTTTTGTTTTCAATATCAATGGTAGTATTCATCAAATGTATTTGTTTATAGTATTGAACAATCAATTAAATACTTTTAATTGAAAAATATATTCAAAACATTTTAGCACAATGCAAGTAAAAATCATATGTAGTCCTCACCTAATGTGATTTAAATCAGGAAGCTTGTTCTGTTAATATTTGTCACATAAAATTAATATTAAGAGTTGCACTGGACTGAAAAACAATATAGGTGTTGGGCTACATGGAAGAGGTTTGACAAAGTAAAGATAATTCATAGGAATTCTGAACCACCACTCACCCCCCAGCAAAAGTAAACCTCTAAAGTCTAATTTTCACTGACAAACCACTGTTCAGAGATTGCAGCTGTCTTTATTACAGCAAATTGAGGCTTGTTGAAAATCACTGTTTCCCTTCGTTTTTGGGTCACAGCGGAATTTTAAAGGGAATGCACTGACATCCTGGATTCCCAATATGGTTTAAAGCAGGAAATCAGTTGTCCTTATATATTACTCCTTAAAAAATCTAATTTTCATGCAAGTATAAAACAGTATAATATCTTCATAGATGTATGGTCTCCCTTATTCTATGTCCTGCAGTATGCCCAGCAAGTGCATAAATAATAGGACTGCATCAAATGATTATTTTGTTAATTGATTAGTCATGTTTTTAGGCCAAAACCTAGAGGTTTGTTTTTTGTTTGTTTTTTAAGTCGAAGTTGTAATGAAAACTTTACACAATGTAGAGAATCTGTTTAAAGTTGCAAAGTGTCATAAAAAAAGATCTGGTGTCTCCATTGTATTTAGCTTGCTAACAATTGTATTTTGTAGGGCGGCATACAGTATTTTGACAGTATTTTGTAAAACAATGCTATTCAGGAATTTTGAAAACTTGCCGATTTTAAATTCGGCAAGTAGGGATGGGGTGATGTTGTTGCCAAGATTTCAAAATACTGTTGTATTACCATAATATTGCCCAAGCCTAGTAACAACTTAAAAACTGTTGAAGTCTACAAATTTTATTACACTGCTTGTATTTGTGTTTGTTGTGATATATCTGCCCTCTGCTGGTTTGGGGAATATCATTGTCATACGCATACGCTGACTATGATAGCATCTGCATGTATAGACAAATGTAGTATGTCTGTGAGTATAACCATGCGCGGATTGGAATGACACGCAGAAAAGTTAAGCATGAACTAGGCTTAACACAACAATGTTAATGTAGCTAAGTTAAATGTCATTGTACTAATTTTATGCAGTAACCACAAAAATGCAACTAATCAATGACAAAATTCAATTAACAATTAATATCAACATTATGGATTTGTTGTTGTATACTTAATTAATAATTGCCATTTTGCCATGAACATTGATTAAAATGTACATGATAAATGATTTAAAAATATTTTTGGGTCAAACTTGTATTAATTGCACTGATTGCCCCTCCTCAGCCTCCCTAAAATGCTGTCCAGCTAGTTCTTGTGCTAAGCAGCTTTATTGTTGTGGTCAAAATAAAATACCTTTTTACTGATATTCTCTTATTAGATATTCAGTTTAATTTTATGATATATGCATAATTATGCAAATTCATAAAAATGCCGACAGTTTTTAGTTACATATGACAAGTTATGACAAGGTCAAAATCAGTAGGTTGATAATGGTAATTGAGCTGATATTCTAACAGTTTTTCTTCAATTTTTGTCTGTCATTTAAAACGGAAACATGTAACCCGTGATGCCTGTTTTAATGTCTATAACCAGTGTCTTTTCAGCTTTTTTCCTGTGTCCTTTGAGTATGACATTGTAGGATGTAAAATAATCATTGACGAAATTAACATTATTTCTTGGTAGTGATTTGAAGACGATGTTCTCATGTTGGTCAATCTGTATAAATGTATAAAGACAATAAACATCTCTTAGTACTAAGAGTAATACATAATATTAAAGTATACATACCGCAGGTCTAACTTCATGGATAGTCTGGCTGCTTGCAATTATTTCAGTTGAACCTTAATGCTGTTATGGCAGGTTTTATTCTGGGTGAATGTCACCTGTTTGTTTGCAGTAGTTAACTAATTGAACTAATTGCAGTTTGTTGTCCAGCAGTACTCTATTAAAGCAGCAAGGCTGATTGTATATCACAGCATTTGTTGGTCCTGGTCCCCTAGACCCTACATGAGGTGCTTTTTAGTTCATGTGACTGATGTGAGCTCTTAATTAGGCTTGACT